TGCATTAGATGGGCTCAGCACAAAGTGTTGTATGAGGCCCTAGGGGATGTTTAGCGCTGATGGGGGCAATTAAGGGAGGCTTCCTGGATGAGGATGGGTTGCAATATGGTTCTTTTGGAATAGGGAAATATATTGGTCACATCCCCCTAGTAAATATGAGGCTCCAGGGGACCATACATGCAAAACAGAGTTTCCTGAAGACAGCAGGCTCTTAATACATATTTGTTGAATAGGGATAGGTATTGCACCCGTGATTTCATTGGTAAGAGCTCTCCTGAGGAAAGTCTCTCTACAGACGGCAGGTGAGCACCTTTTCCATGATTGCTAGTTTTAAAGATTTGCCCAAGGGTATTGAAATGTCATGTAACTTGCCCAGGAGCTAGAAGCATTATCAATCCTTTAAGGTTTACAAAGGACTTTATAGAATATCTCATTTGATGCCAAAGACTATCCTCTGAGCTAGGGAGTATTATCCCCATTTTACTGTTAAGAAAAAGGAGGTTCAGAGAGGTTGACTTCAGCCAGGTTACACAGGTATTAAGCATCTAGGACAAGATATGAACCCAAGTCTTTTGACACCAAGTCTCACACTCTAGACACTAAGTGCCACTTATTTTACCCTCCACAATCTTCCACCTTTGTCTCTTAAGTAGCTTTGAAAAGTAATTGGCACTTTAGAAGAGGGAAGACAGCTTGTAAATGGGCCGACAAATTTGGCGTTATCCCGTGGCTCTCCCAGTGGGCAGTTTCCAATTTTGATTCAGGCCTGACATATCCCTTTGCCCCTCTATTCCCCAGGTTAGTTATGATCCATACGGCCATTACACGGTCAGTTACAGGATCAATTTGGAATTTCAGGTAAGTCCAGGGTTGCAACCAAATTAATCTTTCAGACTAAATTTTTCTGTACAATATCAAAACTACCCCACCCACCCATTGACCCCTAAGGATTTACAGGTGGATGGGGAATGTTCTTCATGAACTTTTGCCCTGGTGTCTTCTGATCCAAGTTGAGTCCAATCCAAACTTACATGAAACCACTACGGTGTTCTCTCCACACGGTGAAGTAAAGAATAAGAATGAGGAATCAGTGCTTAATTCTTAATCTCAGGTTTATCTTTCCCTGATTCTTTGGTGTACCTACCTGAGCCAAGCCAGACAATGCTGCTCAGTTGTCTTTGACATTTGCCTCTCTGTTACATGCAGCCACTAAGTACGTTTAAGTATTTCTATATATCACACATCTAGCCCATCACTTACTGGAGCACATATTAGGTTTCAATGATTTGGTATTCTGTGAAAATCTAGAAATGACAAGCTCTTGGCTAGTTGAAATGCAACCTGTAAAAGGTCAATCAAAATACATTTGCCTGGACTCTTAAGAAATCCATTTAAATGGGTTTTACACTGAAAAAGGGGAAGAAAAAAAGACAGATGCTAAGCTTGATAGCCCAGATAGCTGCTATAACATTTAGAACAACTGTAGTGACAGAGCAGGAACTTGGGATACAAGATGAGCTTTGGTATAAGGGAATGACAGAATAACCAGACTTTAGTCATCGAGACAGCTGATGATGCTTTTTCTACCCAAGGTAGGGCAGCTAACAATATCTCGACTTGTCTCAATGATAATTTCATTCTTCAAAAGTCAGATAAGCCAACAATAGGAGCTGGTTTATGTAGAAATGATAATCATCTTGGGGAGAATTCCACTTTGTAATCTGATGGAGGCTAAGTGGACAAAGACTGACATGCAACCTAAATTTCAGGACGGCTAATCTCGTTTTAGAGAAAGGAAGGACTGAAGAAAAGACGAAGAAAGGAGGGAAAAAAGTAAGTATTCATTAAGTGCCTATGACCTGGTAGGCACTATGCTGAAGTTTACAAATATCTCACAGTATAATGAATTTGGATTTGGAGACCAAGACTCTGGGTTCAAATCCCAACTGTGACGTGTTAACCCCATGACTTGAATCATCACCTTCTGTTGCCCTCAAGATCCTCACCTTTATAGTGGTGATTGGATTAGCTGGCCTGTAGGGTCCCTTTCTGCTTTGAAATCACCCATCAGCTGATGATTCCATAGATGTATACAACACATTGTTTGAGGATCTCTCTGTGTGAGAGGCTACATGGAAGAAGTGGCATTGGTATTTAAAGGATGGGCAAGAGTTAAACAAGTGAAAAGGAGCAGAGATCTGAGCATGAGCAAAACCAGGGAGGTTGTAAGGCACTCAATGTTTGGGAATTAGAAGTGGAACTATTTGGGTGAATAACAGAACATGTGGAAGACAGTGATAACATATGGACTTTAGTAATAGGGAAGCATTGGAGAACATTTTTTGGATACAAGGTTTAGATTAGATTTTATGCATCAGATGCTGAGTGAAGTGAACAGAACCAAGAGGACTTTGTACACAATAACAGCCATGTTATGCAATGACTAACATTGTTAAACTGAACCTTTCTCAGCATTATGAGGATCTAAGACATTTCCAGAGGCCTTGGGATGGATAATGCTGTCCACATCCAAAGAAAGAACTATGGAAGTCGAATCGCTATCACTTATTTTTATCTTCTGTTGAGTTTTGTTTCATCTTTCTGATGGTTCCTCGTAGTGGTTTTAATTTTTACTTACAACTTCACTAATGTGAAAATATGTTTAACAGGAATGTAAATGTAAAACCTATATCAGATTGTGCGCCATCTTGGGGAGGGTGGGGGGGAGGAAAAGGGAGAAAAATTTTCAACTCAAAAGCATATGGAAAAAATAAAAATTAAAAAAAGATTTATGCATCACAAAAGCATCCTGCTTTATGAAAAATATACTGGAGAGGGAATAAGTTCAACAATGGTTAAACAACAATTTCACTTGGAAAACATCTGGAGGTTTCAGTGAGTGGCAAACTCAACTGTATCAACAATAACACAGCATCCAGAAATGTGAATGCATTCTTGGGTCACATACTACAGAATGGAGTCTTGCTGATTTATGCTCTGATCAGATACCAGGAATACTGCCTGTTTCTGGCTGTCATCTTGATAAACTATGCCAGAGAAAGACACCCAGGGTGGTAAAGAGATTAGAAAAACCATGTCACATGAGGACTGGTTAAAGAATACAGGGATGGTTAGCTTTGAGAAGACATTAAGGGGAATGGACAGAAATCAAATATCTGAAAGGGCTTTAAAGTACAGGGATCTTTCTATTTTATCACATAGCTTTGGGAAAATCAAGCTTATTTTAATTTCAAAATTTGCTTCATTTAATACTCCTAATTCATGAGTTCTTAATATTTTAAGGGCAAAGTATTAACATACTCTTGTAACTCAAGATTCCCATAATGTGAACACAAGGTTAACTACTTAACAATGTGGGAAACATCACTCTAGAAGCTTGTCAACGTCTTTACTCTTCCCCTCAGTTAACATTAATCTTTAAAACATGACGACTCCAGTGTTTATTTTCAGTTTTATTAGATTAGCATTCCTTCATGTAAGGGACCTGGAGTCAAGACAACTTGGGTTTGAATCGTACCTCAGGCACCTACTAGCCATGTGACATTGGGCAAATCACAACTTTTCTGAACCTCAATTTCCTCATCTACAAAATGAAGGGTTCAGGATATTTTACAAAGGTCCCTTTCAGCTCTATACCTATGATCTAATGACTAAAATTCCCATTTGGATTAGGAAAGTGCTTATGTCTCTCTACGTGAAGTGTAACTCAATAAAGATAACGAAACCCAACCCAAGTAAAAATGGTCACTCTTTGAGGAAAGATATGTAAACTCAATGAAAAATACCTCACATATAAGCAGCACTTTGAAATTCACAAAGTGCAACCCCCCCCCCCATTAATGGATGCCTTTGGACAAGTAACTTTGTCCATCTTTAGGCAATCATCATCAGAAACCAGCACTAACCAATTTCCTAACTCACCTCAAAAAATTGTCCTATTCATCATGCCAAAACCATCAATAGAAAGGAGAACGAGAGTGGGTTTGGAAGCTCTTATTTGCTTTGGGTACCCAAAGATATTGAGAATCCACCACTACAACTACAAGAGGAATGAAATTTGAATTACTCGATTCACCTAGGACCATTTCTTCCTTGAGGGCTAAGTAGTTAAGATTCTTGATGATTTTCTACTTACCACCAGATACTGGTTTTAGATCATGAAAAGCCTTTCTCCAAGAGACAAATCCTAATAGTTTGTTTCTTTTTTTCCCCCTCATTCACTCAGGTCTCACTCCATGGGTGATTTGCAACAACTACCTTACATTTCAGTGCTAAGACTGAGTCTCAGGTCACAGTCTGGTAGTTCACTATTATCGCTTTAAGACATAAAATCTGATTCTAGGTTAGATGGAGTGACAACGTTCTTCCAGTTTGAGAGGGCTGTTATGAAATGACTTCCTCATGAGTAAATCTACAGAAAATTCGAGTGTTGAATTTTAGTTTTATCACCTCAAAATTTAAATATATGAACCCTTTTAAAATAGCATTTGAATATAAAGCTTACAACCTTAAAAATTTTTTTAAGAAAAATCTTATTTATAGCTCAGAACTAAAGTCATTAAAAACCGTATTAAACTCAAAATTTTGAGCCTGTTCTCTTAAGATCAATTCTTTTCAATAATTTCATGTTTGTAGTAACATAGAAGCAAGCTCAGAAGTTTTGCTGATAACTTATCTTTTTACATGAAACACTTGACACTAGCTGTGTGACCCTGGGCAAGTCACTTAACCCCAACTGCCTAAAAAAAAAATCATTTACTTAAGTTCCTTCACTTATAACTACAGAAAATCAAAATTTTTGGAAGCCCCAAAACTGTCTTGTCAATTGCTAGTGGACAGTAAGGCTGAATATTATCCTTGAGTTTAAGAAATTTATTTGAGTTCAGAGCTTTTCTGATACACCACTGAATCACTATGTAATTATTGATTCAAAACGCACAAAGGTTTGTTTTTTAGAAGAGATCAAGCTAAAGCAGTAATGGATGAGAAGTTTGGTTTATTTTCTTATAATTCCAGTAGCTGTCAGCAAAAATCAAATAAATCACACACAAACTTCACAACAGAACAAAATGTCTTTACCAAAGTAACTATAAAGGGAAAAACTGAATTGATCAAGTAACCATTCACACAGTGGTATTCTGACTTTCCAGTTGGTAAATTTATATTCAAAACCTTGAAAATTTGGACAAAGGCAGAATTTTATGCTATGGCCAAAATTAACTAAGCTGGAACACTGCTACTTTATCTTTATATAAAGAAAAAATGTTTGTAAAGAAAAATAGCTACGAAGGGACAAGGGCCCTGTGTTGGGTTGAAGAAAATGTTTTACATATCTAAAAGTAGGGGTGACAAAGTAAATACTGCTATCACGGTATTCATTCTTTTCGTGTTAAGGGTGCACAGCTTAGATACTATGTAGAAGATAGACAAAAAGAACTGCACAAGATAGAATGAGTAGAATCTATATAGGGATGGACAGTTACCCACACGAATGAGATAATGATGACAATTAGATATCAAACTGTAAATCAATTTTGAATTAGATCTTCCTGCTACAATAGCTTTAACCTCCAAAACAATTCCCTTCTCTGTGTATTACTATAGCTCTTATCACTTTGTCTCCACAATGAACTGATAAGTCTTCTGAAGCCTTCAATTAGGAAGAACTCAACACCTTCCTCCTGAAGTATATAAGCATATAGCATTAAGATATTTTAATGTTTAATATACTTCTGACAAGGTACAATACCTATGCGAATAGTACCTATATTACTTATATAAACACGATGCTCAGTAGAATAATAAAGAAGTAAAGACAATTGCTAAAAAGGATTTTTCCAACAAAACTGACCATGCCCACACCAAGAGAGCAAAATTAGTATGGGCTCTGGGGCCCTAATATGTAAAGTCTCATCAAGGACTTGGAGATTACAACTAGATTCTCTAACACTAGATTCTACCAGTATGATATTCATTGCAGAAGCACAGCTATTAATTAACAGACACTACATCTGTAGAAAGTCAAATAAAACTACAAAAAACCCCCCACCAAAAACCCTTCAACTTAACCAATTATGCAAAAGTACAACTGAACTAGCAACATCTATAGATATATATATATACCTGAAAACACAAAATCTGGATACTTAACATTTCTAATTTCAATTCAACTTTTTAGCATGTTAACACTGACTTCTCTATCACAATCCATACAGAACGGAAATTAGCATTTACACAGTTTTAGCATTTACTTTATTAACACTCAGGTCCCCTGAAAAGTCTAGCAACAACGTAACAAGGACCTGAAGGTTCCATTGTACTCTCACTTCAAACAAGGAATAGGAAATAAACTTGTGGATTCATTGTTTAGCAATGTACCAAACCTCAACAGCCTTGCAAATTACCATTCAAGAAACTAGCAGGATTTACATTTCTTACTGAACTCTTTAAAATGACTGAGTCTTTTTGAAGGCAGACTCTTCAAAGCTAAATCTGCAAGCTGAAAAAGTGAGTTTTCTATAGGTAATTTCCCAAATAAATGTGTTAAAAAGACTTTGAGCCACCATTTGAAATTTGTATTTAATATCTGAAATACAACTCTAATTTTAAAGGCAATTTATGAACTTGAGATTTCATATACACTATTCTACCATGAGAAATATACCTCTTCTTAAAAAAATCTAAGGAGTGTACTGCTGTAACTTACTGAAGGGATTACAGGAACACAATCTTAATGTCAGTTAAGCATATTTCTTGATAGGATAGGAAACCTGGATTCTATCTGATGAAGAGGCTTATTTGGCTTCCACTTGAAAACAATGTTTTTGGGGGAAGAAGAGGTGGTATAAAGAGTTGAATCTACATCGCAACAGAGTATTAATTCAATTTAGAAAGCCAGGCCAAGTGCTAAATTAAGTGAAGCTACATTTGTTTAGAACTTATTGGGCTACAATTTAAATTTAAAGGTATTAAGAATCTCTAATTTGACAGAAAGCTGGGTAGAAAAGGAGTAAGAATGCTTAGGATAGTCTCAAAAAAACTGAATTTTCATTATTTGTTTCTTTACTCAAAGGGAATGTAATCTGATAAAGCGCTTTGAAGATTTTGCCCCCATTTATTACCTCATTAGTAACCAGAATGGTTTTAACAGTTCTACAAAGATCAATTCTCCTTGTACAGGAAAGCACTATTCCCAACTACTCAGCTTGCTTATTTATCCACAATAAACTAAAGCTGTTTTTTTTTAAGTCCAGCTAAAATGTACACAAAACAATGAATTCTAAAACACCTAGCACAAAACATTCACGTAATATAACATTTTTCAAATCTTTTGTCACTGGTTTATCATGCTTGAATTCTGAATACACAGTAGAATTTTAGAGCTACAAGGAAATAGAGCAGCTCATTCAACCAGCATGCTTATTATGAATAATCTCCCCTCCTTCTATTTCAATCTGCTCATAAAGCCACTTTCTGTCACAGCGGCATTCGGCTCCACACTTGTTAGAACCACAATTGGGACACGCGTAGAAGCACCCCAGGCAATCTTCATCAAGGCAGTCACAGAGATCCATCCCACTTAATATCAGGAGGCCCTGGCTATCATAGACTTTGCTCTTTGGTGGTATAACTTGCCTGCAAAAAGAAAAAAAAAGTTATTCCTAACAATGAATCTACCATTATGAATTTTTAATTCCAAGCCTCCCACCTATTTCTTTTCCATTTTTTAGCACAAAACCAACATTATGTAAAGAAAAGTATGTTGTTTCTAAAATTTATATTAAACCGATAAATATATGACCAAAAGGATTTCTGATATTCAATATGGCTATTTCTAACAACTTGGGTATGGTCCTGCTAAAGTGGTTCATAACTTTAGATCAAAACCATCATATACTCAATAGTTACAATCTCTATTTAAGAAGTAGAAATCTAATGTATGGACAGAAAATATCCCAAATTATCACCCAAAAGTCATTACTTCTATATAGGAACAGAAGTTAACTTCCAAACCACCATTTTTTTTGGGTTAAAAAACAAACCAGAACCAAAACAAACAAAGACCTCCCTCAATCCCCCCCTCCCTGCCCAAGCAATTTAGCTACTCTTTTGTGGGCTTGGTAGTTTAAATCCGATACTGTGAAGTACAAGAGTATTTTAAGTGATTGCTATGCAAGGCCAAAAAAAAATTCTTCCAGTCAAGCTAACAGAAATAAAAATGGATTAAACAAAACCTGAAAATGCTACCATTCAAAGAGCAAAGGTGTATGCAGAAGTGTCACCGTACTTAATTTGTATTATGCCTTAATTTTAATGTTTCCTTTTTTTTCAATCTGTATTTAAGGCAATTCAGTAAAATAAATTACCTCCCAAGTCAGCTGCACCTTGATTAATTTTGTTGGCTTTACTATTATTTACGTAGCCAAAAAACCTACAGACATAAATTTATGAAAGAACCCATGATCGTAGTGTAAATGTCACTACCAGGCTATAAATTATGCTCTTTATATATAATTTGATTATTAATAAAGCCAGAATTTTTAAAGTTGAAATCCACTCACTGCCTTCAACGCTTATAAGTTGCCTACCTGTCTGAATTGGATGCCTTAGTCTGCCTTCTTTTTTCTCTCTTACCAGTTTCTGGAGTAAATTCAGTTTGCTTTCCCGGATTTGCAAACTGCAAGGACCGCAAGGCTTTAGCAGTCCTTCCCTAAGGAAAAGTAAAAATTCCAAGTTAGATCACCACATCAAAGGCACAAATAGTAAACATCTCACTCTTAATGACTGTCAAGCTAACCATACAGAATAGAATACTGCCTTGCCCAGAAATGAAACAAAGTCTGGGAGCCCAATGCACTAAAGCTGAACTTTATTCTGTAGAAGAAGCCACCAGGCCATTATTCAGTGCTTACTGACTCTCAGATCACACAGCCCTAACAATCTTGGTTATTTGTTTTATTGTATCACAGCAAATCAAAAGTAGCACAGGAGGAAAGCATAAGAGGTAGACACACTGGCGGCAGAACTAAAGGTTGATAGCAGTGGAGAACAGGAAGTCAAAACAAAACAAAACAAAACAGACAAAACAAAAACCAACTCAGCACAGTGAAATAGTAGACATTCACAATGATGGCTGAGTCAAAGATTTAAGTTCAGTTTCTTCCGCCTGCGAAATCAGTAAACTGTGAAAGAGACTAAAAATTCTTCCAAAAGTGGCTAAATTAAAAAAAAAATTTTAATCACTCAAAGGTGTAAGTTTTTTAGCTTCATAGTTAATCATACATGTAGAACACCCTGATGATGCGTTACTGTATTAGGATAGACAGGAGTCTGACAAAAAGCAATATTCAGTTTTCTGAAACGTGACTACGAATTAACACGTTCAATACCAGGAGAACTGCTTCAAGAATGCAAGGAAAAGGTCACCTTACACTGCACATGTTAAAGAAAAACTAGGCTTCACTTAATTAAGTCCCCAGGATCTTTTCTAGCAGCACGAATGAAAAAGTGCTTAAGTGCTTATTAACACATGGCAGTGTTATTGGTGTTGGGTAGGAGAGAGAAATATAGTTCATTACCCACTAATATACAAATCTGAGCCTGTGCCAAGCAATTTTAAAAAGCCTTCTATTAAAGTTTTTCATTAGCTATTTAAATGTTGAATTGTTAAATTTTTCCAAATAGAAAGTACACATTGTTCAAGGTAAGAACCTCTAAAACAAGACACACCATATCTCATACCCCACCAAAACAAAATTAAAACTTTGCCACAAAGAGTCATGTTTTTGGTGACCATAGAGAGGCCTAAAATTAGGGAACAGAGGAACGAGATTCTGAGCTGTGCTCCTAGATTTACACCCACACAAATCCAAACATGGGTGAGGACAAAAGAGGAAGAGAATAAAAGGAGCAAGGAGAAACATTCATTGCAAGCCACCTGCTATTCCCTCCTAGACTTTCTTCTAGCAGTAAATGCTAAAAAAAGTGTGTCACTCCTTTTTCTGATCCTACCACTTAAACGGCTGAAAGAGGGAATAGGAAAGTAAGTGAGCACCATTTACATGATTTTCACCTGTCTGAATTTTGTATGTATAATATCATGTTGATTTAAAGTACTTATGAGCAATGATAACCAAAAGAAGGTATGCTTCTACACTACCCAAGCAAAACTCTAAACTGCAGACCTAAATAAGCGAAAAATTGGTCCATATACATACGTCTGAATCAGCTTTCCTTTTTTGGCGATCTTCAGATTCAACATCCACACTTCCATTGATTATCTGTGTGCACTTTGGACAAAGCTTCCAACCAGGTACAAGCTGTCTTCCAAACTTGGCACTTAGGAAAGTGGCATCATCTAAGTCAATCGCATGCAAATTTTTCTTTGCGAGCTTTTTGTGTATGTTAAAAGGATCACAACAAGACTTTTGCAAGTCCTCAAATCGATCAATGTAAATTTTTGCATGATGGAAGCAAATAGTATTGTTTCCAGAGAGGGTCATTCCGGTTCTAAGCTGAAGTAAAAGCGCATCATTTGATGACAATTCTTGCAAAGTCTTGAAGCCAGTATGTCGAGTATAGTATGTCTTATGACATTCATTGGTAGCACGAAGCTGAACTCCAACTGAACAGGGATCCATCTTACTTCCTTAGAACAACCTATTTCACCGTTTTTTTTTTTATTCTGCCTAGGTTTTTTTCTGTAGTCTCTAGTAGGTCCTATTGAGGATCACCCTAGAGAAAGCATTAAAGTGAATCAGATTTATGTCACAATGTTTTTTTACCTAAAAGGCCTGAGACTAAAAAAAGTAAATCAGATTTATATACCCTATAGAATTTTATTCCCCATTTTAAAACTTCTATTGCAAATATAATATGCCGTTTTTTTTTTAAAAGAAAATTCTCCTCCATGCTCCATATTCTGGATTACATTTGCAGGTTTATAAATTTCAGTAACACCTGCAAGATTATGACATCCGTATTCAATTCAGCTGTCAAATCCAACAAAGATAACTTTAGTCTACAACTTGAGACAGTTATATTCAAAGTTCATTTTTTTAAGTCAACTGTTTGGAACTTGGAATTTTTTCACAGGAACAATTATGGTTAGAACCCCATGTGAGACCAGAGAAATTCATTTAACAGTAATAACCAGAATCCTGGATACAAGGAAGCGAGGAAAGGCTAGAAATGCCCTTTCCTGGGCATAAAGTTGGCTACAGGCGAAATTCTGAAACTGGCTAAATGTGTCTTCAGAATCACCAATTTCCTAAGATTTTCTGGAGAGAATACTGGGAGACTAGGCACCAGAAGTCAACAGCGGCAGCCCCTCCCCCCCTCCAAGTTCAACTTGCTTTAAGTTAGGGGATTTCAGTTGTGTTAATTCCACAAAGTTATTCTTCTATTTCACACCTGTTTATGGAATATTTGCATTTAAGTCAGAAGACTCTCTAAAAAGAGGAAGTCCAGGAAGACAAAAAAAGTCAACAAAAAAATGTTAGTCCAATGTGGAGGCAAAACAAGGTAAAAGGGTGGGGGGGCAGGGGAGGAGGGAAAGAGGGGCCACTAAATAGGTAGGCTAGCCTAGCTAAGGAATTTAACCCTAGGATGGAAGTTGTTTCTACTTCTAACAGTTTCTTCCCATTCACCATTTCTGAACATAAAGCTATAATAATACTGCACTGACTATCTGGACACTTCTAAGTTGGAAACTACCCATTTCTCAGGATGACCATACGAGAGTTATAAAAAAAAAAATCCCATTTTAAGCATCATACTGAAATCACAATTTGCTTGTCTAATTTTAAAATAAAATTGCATACTTATTTGCCTGCCCCTTTTTTGTTTTTCTTGCTTCAAATCAGTAGTTATTCAAGATGTCCCATCAGCTTAAATCACAATTAAATCCAATACAACATTTATTAAGAAGGGATACAATGTTTGCATAGAGAAGCAGTTTTTGCTTGAGATCTAGCACAACGGGACACAAGAATAACATCAAAGGGCACTTAAGAACTGCCCGTGACCAAACCACTGACTTCTGTGTGATCGTGGGTGGATCCCTTCACTTCTCTGGGAGCTGGGCTCCTCGTCTGTTAAATGAGCAGGTTGGGCTAGATGAGCTGAGGTTTTTTTCCAGCTCTAAAGCTATGACTCTATCTTACGTCTCTCCGGAAGTAAAAGGTCCTGGTATATATAGTAAGTGCTTAATAGATGCTCAATGATTGATTGGCGCAATCAGGTTGGTTTTCCTTAAACGAGTCATTTAGATCCCGAGTCTAAAATCTTTTAAGAATGGGAAGGGACCTCAGATGTCACCCCCTAACTGAAGCTTGAATTCTCTATAACATTTCTGACAAGTACTCAGTCTCTGCTTGAAGACTGCCAGGGACAGGGAACTCTATCAAGGCAGCTTGTTCTACTTTTGGACAGCTCTGCTAGTCCAGAAGGTCTTTTGTTATTTTTTAAGATTAATGGAAGTGGCTGACTAGGGCCAGGCTTATTGGCAGCTTATTTTTAAAAAATGGTAAATTTTGAGCTGGGGAGATATCTCAAAAGATAACAGTCCTAGGGTAAGTCAGAATGTTTTGCCAGCTCAAGTCTGGGAAGGTATAGTCTTTACTTATTTCACCCAATCTTTTCCCCATTTCCAGAATGGGAAAACTGAAGTAGTCTCATATCATCCTCAACTTTGTACATGGGCATGTACGTGCACAAAACACACACCCACCCTTTGTCCTTGGTAAGGTCAAATTCCTGGTTTGACCTCAGAACACAATAAGGTGATATAAAAACAAAGATCATTTTTAAAGAAACTAAAGATTAATTTCAATGTCTGACTGCATGCTATTTAAGTTCACAGAGAAAATTCAAGTTTTGCCCAACGTGGGCCAGATTCCCTCACGTGAGTAGAGGCCCTCTCAAAAGCAATGAGCTTTTCTGCTGATAATTCCCTTAGAACTAGAAATACATGAGCCAAGGAGTTTCTTTGTCAAAGAAGCTGGAAGTATGCTCATCAATGTGGGTAATCCTCCATTGGTGCAGATCCCATTCACGCCTTCTCATCCTGGGCAATTCTTGTCCAAATATCCTCCAGAGAGGATTTACCCAATACATTGGAGGTTTTCCTCCAGGTATTCAATATTCTGTGAATACCAGAGCAACGCTCAGGCTGTCCATTTGTTATCCCTTGACCAGTTCAACTCCTTTTTTGGTCATATATAGTCATGTTTTTTATATGATTTCTTGCATACAAGTTTATTTAGCCCCATCAAGACTCTTTCCACAAGTCACCTGCAATTTTGATTCTTCTGGGGGCATAGTATTCCTTGATTTGCAGGCATATAGTATCACTGGGAGAATATTGTTGTTAATAAGATGGGCTTTTGCAACAAAGAGCAGCTTGGGATCTCTGAAAAGCGCTGTGAACTTTCCCAAATGCAATCCAGCCTGCAGTTCTCTTCCTCCTATTTAATTCTGAGCCCAGTTCACTGTCCATCAATGGACTGCCCACACAACTACATTTCACAAACTGGGCAATAGGCTGAATCTTCCCAAAAGCATTCACAGTTGAAACTGGTAGAGCAACAAATAGATGTGAATGGATTTGCCAATGTTTTTACAGCAGATCTATTTTTTATTAACAATGGAACCATCATTTGGTAGTCAGTATTCAACTTACTAGATAAGGAAATAAAAACGACACTTAAAAAGATAAAGTTGGGATGAAAAGATGAATTTGACCAAATACACAGGGAAGAAATTCATTGTAGAAGTGACAGCCTTAAAAGCAACCTATGACAGTGGTGGCTGTCCATTCAAGAGGATAGTGGGTCTCTGCTATAGCTACATGGCTTAACCCACTCTCTCACCCTGAACTCACTCATACAACAGAGTAGCCACCAGAACAGTTATGACTTTCATGTAGAATCTGAAACTGAATGGACTACAAAAGGTCAAGTGATTTCAGTAGTGGAAGACAACCAAAAGAATGTCAGAGAAGCCATTTCTGTAAAAGCAACTATTTTAAAATGGTTGCCATAAATCCTTAGAAGGGAGCAAGTGAAATTGACTACCATCCCAACCACTCATCAATGAAAAGCATTTTGTGGGCATGAATATGCAGCACCAGGAACAAATTTTATTTGCCTTGAAGGTAGAACCCGATAAAACAGTGAAAACAAAGTTGTCATGGGCCATAACAGGTAACAAAGATATGCCTACAGATTCTTCAACACTGGAAGAGTTTCAATATAGTATGCTGGGAAGATGGAGCCAATAGAGGTCACAGAAATTTCTAAATATAGGGGGAAAAAACTGCTTCGATAATGTGGTGGCACCACTGGATTCCAGTGTAGTATTTGCTCTGAAGTAAAGCAACTGTTGGATCCTTGGTGCAAGAGAAATAAAGTCAATTGTCACGAACTGGGTCCCTCACCTCTAACATCTAGCCACACACTACAGCTGGAAAGGCCTTCCTCTCAGAGAACATTACTCATGCTAAATGACTCTTGAGAATTTTTCCTTAGTTTACTCGGACCAACTGCTGAAAGCCTTTAGGGACAAAATTTTAATTTCTTTTGTCAATTACTTCAACCTTTGAGTTACTTCTCTTTGTGGTTGGCTAACCACCTGTGATCCTCATCCAATTTTGCTTAGTTTCAAAAGGGAAAAAGCCCTATGGTTGGAGTAACCAAAAAATCTAGGATTGGGACCTAGTACACACCCACTTACTGGCTAAGGAAACTCAGCAACTTGCTTTACTTCATTTTCATTTATTAAATCAAGAGATAGAATTAGATGCCCTCCAAAATTTCTTTCAAATCTAAGTTTGCTAACCTTTTGCTGATTTACCATTGCGACCCTTCCTCCCCCATTTTCCTAGAAGGTATTAAAATCTACAGATTTAATCATAGGCCATAACAACCTCTTTAGAGTACTTCTGCACCTGCATCACTTGGGATATGGAAGAAAATGGAAGATTTTTAAGTCTGCTTAAGAGCTCTACTATAAAAGATCATGGGTATTTTCATGTTACTATGCAGAACCTTTTTTTCCTTTCGAAAATTTAGTGATTTGGTATTCTCCCCTGCAAATAAAGGTTAAGAAAGGGCTTTACAAATATTTAAAGGCATTCCAATGTTGAACATCAAAGTATCACAAAAGGAGGACTCCAAAAGGAAGGGATGATAGACCTGTTATTACCAAAAGAGGCAATAAAGAAAGCAGCAACAATTACTCATAAACCTATTCATCTCTTATAAAATTTCAATGAGAATCATTTATACAACATTCTCCAGAGGGTCTTCTTAAAAAAAAAGCCAACCCTTCGAAGGTGATTTTTTATTACACCATAAACCATACCTCCATTGTCATAACTGATAAAGATGTCGAGAATTATTTTCTGTTGTTGGCATATGCTGATTAACAAAATAAAAACCTTATCAATGTGATTAAATATTAAAACGATTTTCAAAACCACAAATGCAAAGTTCACAACACCCCTCTGATTATTGATATTGATATCACACAGGGCATAAAAAAAGAGGAAGATGAATGCTCACCAAAAATGTCCTCCACTGTCTTAAAGGATCCGATACCACTATCAACTACAACAAGGATTCTTCTTTATAACACTGAACAAAGAATGCTAGGAGCTGGAAAGAACCAGATTGTGAGCTCTTTGAGGGCAGGAACTCTTGCCTTTCTTTGTATTCCCAGCACTTAGCTCAGAGCCTGGCCTATATAGCAGGTGCATAAGAGATATTTACTAACTGAACACTTACTCTTTGGCTCCACTATAGAAGCCCTCCCCACCCCTCCAAGATTCTATAAAATTGTGAGATTCTGCAGAATTCCAATCTTAAGATAAACTTAATTCTTATTTCACTGAGCCTTAGAAAACGATAGAGTCCCCTCAAAGAGATGTATGATCACTCAAAAGAGCATAATGACCTACACAGAGGTAAAAAACATGGATGAGTACCGCACATTAATATAGTTATCTTTCTAATACTGGGTGAGAGGTGATAGCCCCTCCCCCAGGTTAGTTTGCATTTTTCCTCCAAGCTTATTTTTTTGGGGGGGGGAGGGAAGAGAAGGATCCCTAGAATCCTTACTTGTGTGTGGGGAGGATGTGTAAACCACCCACTTATGGAACCCATTTCTGCCCCTGAAAGTTTCACCACAAAGAGTAAGGCTAATCCTCTGTTTATGGGTCCTTACAACATCAGACAGCAGTTATCATGTTCCCTATTTCCACGGCTTTCTTTTTCTAGGGTAAACATCCTTGGTTCCTCATGGCAAACTGTTTCACTTCCAAGACCCTGAAAATTGAAATTCCTTTTTCTCACTAGTCTCTTACCCTCACCTTTCCTACTCCCTCATTCCTCTTGAATTTACTCCACAAGTCCTGTTTTCCAAGTTCATCACTCCTGTTCTGGCTTTACTCTCTTCAGTTTCCTTGGCATTTCAATATGGCACTGGCTTACTTCTGAATCCCTAAGTCCTTTGTCACTCCGATCACGAGTTCTTCACTCCTCTCAGCTGAATAAAATAATGATTACTGACTGCAGCCATTACCAATTCAGGCTAACACAATGGAACCTCACCAACAGAAGACAACTGCATCTCTCTACAAAATCCCAGCAGTGGACCTGACTCCACCCATACTCCCCGATAGCCACCTCCAAATTAACAGAGATTAAGACCACCTAAACCAGATTCCCCATCTCCAATCCCCCCCCCCACCACACACCTAAAAACCTAAATCCTCACTCATCACCTCCCTTCCTTGGAGTCAGAGGCCAATCCTTTCCTGCTCACCTCTATTGTATTCCGGTTTTTGCCACACCCCCCTTTCTCCTCAGGGATTCTAAGCAAACATTTACTCTTTATCTTTAATCTTTTCTACTCAATTGGCTATGTCCCTCTACCTACAATATGCTCAGTTCTCTCCCTAAACCACAAAACTTCTCTGTCCATGTCATCACCTCCGACTATCACCCTTTATCTCTTTCCTCATGCACTATTTAACTACTAGGAAAAAATTAGTTTATACTCATCTTTCATTAATTAATTACTCCTTACTCTTAATCTGATGCCACATTGTCCTCAAATTTACTTAAAAAAAAAGAGTGAGAAGGATTAAAACTAGTATTGAAATCAGTTACCAGTAAGCGATCCTTAAACAGCAGGTATCCTAATCTGCACCCCGGTACCGCCCCTCCGGACTCCGGCGTTCGGCTCTTCTTTATCTCCCGGGCCACGCCCGGCCTCCGCATTGCGGCATTCGGCCGCATTACATCATTGCACCAAACCCTTGGCCACGCCCCCGAAGCCGGCCATTTTGGTGGCTTCCACCATTTTCCAAATCTACACTGACATAGCAATTTTAGAGCACGTCTTCTAAATAAACGGGTTTTGAGGGTCCATCCCCGTGCTGGAGTCGTGGGGGCGGCTGTTCTGGGTAACGTTACACCCTGGGCACGTGCAGCCCCACTCCCCGAAGTGCGCCACGGCTCCCCTCCCCCTCCTCTCCCATTTCTTTGTGCTTCGTCTTCTCCAGAAACGGGCACCGACTGACCGCCCCTGATGCCCCCCTGCCCCCCAAACCGCAAAGAACCTTGATGCTAAGAGGGGCACAACGCAATGCGAAGCACCGTTAGAAACTCACCCCAACTGGTCTGGTTGTCAAGAGTCAACACGAGGCGCCCCTACAATTCTACAAACGTAGGAGCCCGGAGGCCATCTTGTCCAACCCTTCCAGTCTCACAAGCGGGAGAACCGTGGCGCGGGGATATTAAAGTACAAAGCACCGAGGAGGACTTGAACCCAGGCCCCCGACTCCCGAGGTCCACTGTGCTGCGTAGCTGCCTCTCCCCACCCCCGGAAAATTACAGAACGTGGCCCAGGGCGTGTCGGGGAGAAGATGCGAACCCGGGGTCCCGGTCAACGCAGCAAGAGGCTCATCCGCATTGCGGCAAGGTGGGGGAGGGGCGCAAGGACGCGCCCAAGGTCACCCAGAGAGCGAGGAAAACGGCGGGACCGGGTTGCGAGCCCGGGACCGTACGCTCCCCAATTCCCCCATCCCCCCCAGCAGCCCCAGCCCGAGGCGCCCCCACAACTGCCCGGCGCCTCCTAGGCCCGTGACCGGCCTCGTACTCGGACCCCGCAGCCCTCAACGCTCTTCTGCCTCGGCCTTCATCCAGTACCTTGCCCGGCGCCCGTCCAGGCTCCTGCCGCGCCGTCCCCCGCACCTCAGCCCCCGGGCCCGTCGCAGCCATGAACTAACGGCTCCGCACGTAGCAAGCAAGCAACTCGATCAGCTCGCACCGCCCACCGCCACCGAGAAGACGTCGCGAGCCCGCTAGAGCGCCTCTTCTAGAGGGACGCCGCCGCCGTAACCAGCGAGAGGGCGCGAGGGGCGGAGCCAGGCGTGCCTAGAGCGGCCGCCGGCGCGGCCGCCATCTTAGGAAGGGCGGGAGGGCCGGGGAGGGCCGGGGAGGGCCGGGGAGGCCTACGGGCCTCGGGAGGAGGCCGAGCCCTGACCGGTGGGCCTTGCGGGCAGAGGCCGGAGAGATGAGACGGGCCTGGGATGGGCAAGGCATGATGTCAACAGGAGAGTTGGGTCAGACGCAGCGCTGGTAAACTTGCCCTGCCCCTTAGTGGTCTGAGGCCCAGGGAGTTCATCCTGCAGTCGGGATGACCATTCCTTCCTTCCTTCCTTCCTTCCTTCCTTCCTTCCTTCCTTCCTTAAGTTAAATCACTAGTGCATTCTCTTCCTTCCTTCCCTCCTTTCTTCCTTCTTTTCTCCCCTCCTTCCCTCCCTCCCCTCCCTTCTTTCCTTCCTTCCCACCTTCCCTCCCTCCCCCTCGTCCTCCCTCCCCTCCCTTCTTCTTTCCTTCCTTCCTTCCCTCCCTCCCTCTTTTCCTCTCTCCCCTCCCTCCTTCCCTCCCTCCCTCTTTTCCTCCCTCCCCTCCCTTCTTCTTTCCTTCCTTCCCTCCCTCCCCCCCTTCCTCCATTCTTTTTTCCCTTCCTTTCATGTGTACATCCATTCCCTGAATCTGATAGGTTCCCAGGCTTCTTTAAAAGCTCAAGTCCAAGTGTGTGAACTCTATTAATTAGATTAATGGGCTCTTAATTCAGATAGCCTCGAGTTCTTCCTGAACAAAGGACACATGGAGATCCAGCAATGGAGCAATGGAGACCCAGGTCTTGAATTCTTGTCTTGTCCAAGGAACTCACACCATATTGGACAGATAACAGAGGAGAGAGAAGGCATTAGGCATCCCTTTGCTCTCTGAGTTCATGGGTGCCCAGCAAGCACGCATAAGAAGAATTGATGAGGACACTGTCAAATAAGTAGTATGAACAATGATTGTTCTAGGACATTGTGTTGTACCAGGAGACCCAGACATAATTTAAAATGTGGATTTATTAGGGCGTGGCTGCAAGGGGTATGTGCATCCAAATCAAGCAGCCCTGATCAGGGGTCCAGCTAGGGTTTATATGGGAAAGAAATGCTAGGAACACTGATGAGGTAATCCAAAGGTGCAGGTGTCTTTGGGGGCCATGGATGGGAAAGTATAGGGAGTATACCGGACAGGGAGGGGGATGGATCTTTGGAGTCTGGCAGGAGGAAGAGTCCTTGGGCTGGCCAAGGACACCCCTCTCCCTCTGTCTTGATGAAAGAATGCTCTGCAACAAAGGAAAGCTTTCTCACAACATAGGAACTTTCTAAGGAATTGGGAGGCTTCCAGAGACATGATCTGAGGGCTGGGGCCTGAGCAGCCCAGCTCTGTGTAGCTGTGTCAGGGAGAGAGATGAGGGTCATGCTGAGGCCCATGCACAAATAACTGCTAGGCACAGTGTCCTTGGGCTGGGGAGTGGTTGTTAGAGACAGTGTTTCTGAGACTAGGGAGAAATTGGGGCACAAGTACAAACACAAGCACCCGAGCACCCTATTATTACGGGTCAGAGATCACGCAAACTGGACCAGGTGTCCTGGTCTCTGGTATGAACATAATTATCTAAAGCAATTATATTGCAAGCTTTCTTATCCATTTGCGTTGGAGGTACCCACTAAGCTGAGCTATGCAAGAGTACATTTCACTGTTGTTTAGATTTAGGAGGAAAGAGGTCTGGGGCAAGATTAAGCACCAACTTTTGCTTTCCATGGCTTAAAGGGCCCTACTACCTAAATGGTAAAATAATGTTCTGCATTACAATTGTAGAAGGAAGACATTAACCATAAGCTGGGTTCCCAGTTCAAGGAAAGTATTCCATAAATGTGAGATTTAGGCTGAATCCTAAAGAAAGTGAAAGTGTAGAGGAGAAGGGAAAGACTTTTTTTTTTAATGCTCTTTAAAAGACCATTACCTCAGGCAAAATACATGATCCTTTGGGACATGGAGAATAGTTGGTACAATGGTGTTTATGATCAATGAATTGTTCAAAATTCCTTTGTAATTTTACATTTTATTTTATGCAATTTATTTTATGCATTAAAATATTTTAAGGAATTTATAGATTTTATAGACACATGTCAGTTATCTTATAGCTAAACAAGAATATTTTATTTTGAAGCAATAGCCAGATTTGAACTCAAATTTGTCTTCAGAGCCAGCACTGTATTTACTACGCCACCTAGCTGCCCTGAATTTGTTTTTAAAAGATTTGAGGACACTTTTATGTTGATTGCCCTGGGCAGAATTGCTAGTTATGGCTCTGCTGCTTATAGATTTAGTCAGTATTCATTAAGTATTTAATTAAGTACAAGTATTTATTAAGCACCTATGATGTACTAGATACTATACTAAGGGGGATACAAAGAAAGGCAAACGACAGTTTCTGCCCTTGAGCTCACAATCTAATGGGGAAGAAAATAAACAGATGTGTACAAACAAGATATATGTGTGCACATGTATATATGTGATAATTGGGAGATAATCAACAGAGGGAAGGTGCTAGAATTAAGAGCAATTGGGAAAGGCTTCCTGTAAAAGGTGGAATTTTAGCTGAGATTTGAAGGAAGCCAGGAAAATCAGAAGACAGAGGTGAGGAGGGAGAGAATTGAAGGCATGGGAGACAGCCAGAGAAAATGCCCAACAGAGGATTTTACATTTGATCCTGGTGGTGATAGGGAGCCACTGGAGTGTATTGAATAGGGAGGGAGACATTTTCAGACCTGTACTTTAGCTAAGTTATGAGCTTGGGTGAGTTGTGAGCTTGGATGACTAGGAAGACGGTGGTACCCTCTACAGCAGAGAAGTCAAATACCTGGTGCCATGTCAGGGACTGAACCAGATTAAAATGTGGTTCTTATTTGATTTTAATGTGTTGATGTATTAAAAAGAAATACACAAATGTATAGTTTTTCTAAGTCAGTATTCAGCCTGCAGGGATCCTTACATATTGTTTAGGGGCCCCCATTTCTATTTTCAAGTTTGATACCATTGCTCACAGTAATAGGGATGTTTGGAAGGGGGGAGGAGTTGGATATGAGTTTTTGGACATTTTGTGTTTAAGATATCTACAGGAGTCTACTTTACGATGGCCAATAGGCAGCTGGAGATGTAAGTCTGGAGGTCAGCAGAGAGGTTAGGGATGGATAATTAGATCTGAGAATCATTCACACAGAAATGATCATTGAATCCATGAGAACTGATGAGATCATCAAGTGAAATAATATATAGAGAGAAGAAATAATATAGAGAGAGAAGAGAAGAGGGCCTGGGACGGAGTCCCTGGGACACCGAAGGTGAGTGGGTGTGGCCTGGATGAAGATCCAGCAAAGGAGACTGAGAAGGAATTGTCTGATAGGGAGGAGGACAGTCAGGATGGAATGGTGACACAGAAACCTAGGTGGAAGAGAGAAGTATCAAGGAGATAAGGACAACTGTCCAAGATCCTGAGAGCCCCAGAGGGATGAAGATTAAAAAAAGGAAATGAAGTAACTCTGAGAGCTGCTTCACAGAGTGGTGGTGAAGCTAAAATGAGATAAACCACGTTGTAAACTTTAAAGGGCTATAGCAATGTCCGTTATGACTCTATGATTTTCTGAACTGACTTATGTTTAATGAGTCTATGATTTTATGACCACGTAGGTTAAAAGCTTAAACAACAGACAAATGAACCTTAGAGAAACAACAAAAAATAACCAATCCAATCACCTCATTCTTTCTTCAATAGCATGTACTTGTAGAAAGGTGAGATTCTATCTCTTCATCCCTAGTGTTTTTATCTTTCCTGTACCTGCTACAACAATATGGTATCTCTGTCATTTTCCATGGTTTTTCCCCACCTCCTCCCGTTATGATAGTATGGGCATTACAGTGGGGGAGGTGCAATTAAATAAAGGTCTCAACAAGTACACAGTCACTTTTTAGGGAATGTTGCTCTTCAGGGCTACCAGGTGCAGTGCTTCTTGAGAGCCAGCAGAGGGAGAGCAGAGCATGGTTTTTTGTTAAGTCTTATACACCTTCTGTTCACTCCTTTTTTTCATGAGATTTTTGTTGTTCAGTTATGTCTGGCTCCTCATGATTCCATTTGGTGTTTTCTTGGCTAAGATACTGGAGTGATTTTCCATTTCCTTCTCCAGCTCATTTTGCAGATGAGGAAACTGAGGCAAATAGAATTAAGTGACTTGCCCAGGATCACATAGCTAGGAATTGTCTGAAGTCAGATTTGAACTCAGGAGGATGTCTTCTGATTCCAGCCATGTTGCTCTATCCATTGAGCCACGTAGCTGCCCTTCAACACACATTTACAAAGTGCCTTTTATGAACCAGGAAGTATGCTGTGCTCTGGGAATACAAACACAAAGGGAGACTTGCCCTGCCCTTGGGAATCTTGAATTCCACTAATAATGTTTAATATGCAAGGGGTCTTTACTATTTGTCAGTAGTATCAGAGCTATTCACTCAACTGAATTCAATTCAACATTTATTAAGCACCAGCTATATTTGTAGCGGTAGTAGGACTGGGGCTAATTACTCTTTACTGGTGCAGATGAAAAGACATCTCTGCCTCCTCATTTTGTACTATTTGTATCCATTTAAAAACAGCAATGGCAATGATTACAGCGATTCCATAGAACATTCATATGGTATAGATAGAATACTGAACTTGGAGTCAGGAAGATGGGTTCAAAACCTTCTTCAGACAATTAATAGCTAAGTGATCTTGGGTTGAATAATCTTGATCACTTAACTTATTAGCCTTCAGTTTCCTCATCTGTAATATGAAGGGATTAAACTCAATGACTTCTAAGGTCCTTTCTGGACCTAACTCTCTGATCCTAAAGCCTTTCCAATATACTAGTAGCCTTGCTCTGAGTCTTTTAATATTTTGTGGATGGCAATGAAAAATTTGGACCTATTATGAGTCACATGACTAGCTGCCTTCTTTTTCTGGTCATCCATATGCTCTTCTTGGAGTCCCTCCCTCCCTTCAAAGTTCAGCTCAACTTCTAGTCCATCAGTTATTCAACAAACATTTATTAAGCACCTGCCATGTGCTAGGCATTGTGCTAGTTGTTGGGGCATAAAACTAAAAATGAGATAACTCCATCTTGCCCTCAAGGAGTTTACATTCTATATCCCAGGCTTTTCCTGATTCTCTCCCTTATTACTGCTCCCAACACCATCACTGTGGAGTTTCTTGTGCATATCTCTGAATATGTTATCTTTCTCTCTAGTAGAATATATGTCAGGGACTAGTCTCATTTTTGCATTTGTATTCTCAGATTCTATCTAGTATAGTATCCAGAACATAGTAGGCACTTAATAAATGCTTGATGATGGATTAATTGACATCTTTGGTGCTTTTTTATGTCACTTTTTGCAAACTGGGAATATAAAATTGAAAAAAAGAGACAGTCCTTATCCTACGAGAGTTCATTGGCTACTAAAGGATGAGACATGTCTGGAAATTGCTGTAGAGAAGTATTAAATAGACAGGAAAGGTGAATAAAATATTTAAGTCAAAGATTGGGGGGAAGGTTATATATACTCAAAATATAATTTGTTATGGAATGAGATGAGGTAAGTGAAGACCAGAAGACAAATTAGAAAGGTATTGCAATGGTGTATTGATAGATGGTAAGAGTTTGAACTAGGATGGTTGGAGATGGAGTAGAAAAGGAAGGAAATGAGTGTTTGTTAAATGCCTACTATATGCCAGGCACCATGCTAAGTGCTTTACAGATATCTTGTTTGATCAGGACTTATATGAAAGTATTTGGAAATAGAATCAATAGGACTTGATTTCAGTTTCAATCATCCCAGGGGACAGAAATAGGAACAATTCATTGAAGTACCAGAGAGACAAATTTAGGTTTGATGTTAGGAAATAATTCCTAAAGATCTGAACTACCTACAAGTTAAATGGACTCTGCCTTATCATGGGCTAGGAGTTGGGGAGGGTGGATCTTAAAAGCAATGGCTGTATGGTCCCTGGTTGCTTATGTTGTAGTGGGGATTATTTGGCGGCATGGATTGTTTTAGATGGCTACTGAAGCCCCTTTCAAATCGGAAATTCAATGATTCTGTGTCTAGGGAGAAGATTGTTTATGGAGGAGAAATAAATGGAGGAGAAGGATTTAAGATTAAGAAGAAGAAGGAGTTGTGCTGAAGAAGATATGGAGGTGTGAAGACAACAGGGACATTTGTGGCAGTGGCAGGTATTCAGGTAAAAGGATCGTAGTCCCAACCTTCCACTTCTAGTCACTGAGCCTTATAAATGCTTCAAGACACTTGGCATAATCCAGTTGCTAGTTTCTAGGACCATGATTGGAGCTGAGACAATTCACTTCTCCTAATCCAGTTAGCATGAAAATAAGGGAACTTACTTTCTTTCTTTCTTTTTCTTTCTTTCTTTCTTTCTTTCTTTCTTTCTTTCTTTCTTTCTTTCTTTCTTTCTGTCTCTCTTCCTGTCTCTCTTCCTGTCTCTCTTCCTGTCTCTCTTCCTGTCTCTTCCTGTCTCTCTTCCTGTCTCCCTCCCTTCCTCCCTCCCTTCCTCCCTTCCTTCCCTCCCTCCCTCCTTCCCTCCCTCCCTCTTCCTTCCTTCCTTCCTTCCTTCCTTCCTTCCTTCCTTCCTTCCTTCCTTCCTTCCTTCCTTCCTTCCTTCCTTCCTTCCTTCCTTCCTTCCTTCCTTCCTTCCTTCCTTCCTTCCTTCCTTCCTTCTTTCCTTCCTTCCCTCTTTCTCTCCTTCCCTTCTTCCCTCCTTACCTACCTAACAAGAAAAGTGAAGCCACAGCAGACAATGATAACACCAGCAGATGGCAGCAACAGCTTGTGGAGTAACTATAAGCTTTCTCTTCCAAGGCACAGAAGACAAGCCCTCGAGGGGCAGGAGAGGTCTGTGGAATCAGAGAGGATAGACTAGAGTGGGGATGTCAAGCAGAACTCTGGAACCTCCCCTGTGAAACTGGGAGACTGAATGGCAGCGAGGCCTAGCTGGATGGCAGGAGCCCCCAGAGGGGAGTGGTAGCCATGACCCTGCCCTTCCTCAAACATGGCACCAGGTATTTTCTGGCAGAATGTCCTCTTCCCCACCAGGGTAGGAGGTGGTGGAAGACTGCATATTTTCATGCATGAGAAGACTCCGAATAATTCTGCTACCTGGTTTTCCCTTATTATTTTTATTACTATTCTATTCTATTAATAGTTTGCTGTTTGATTGATAGGCTCCTGCCTAGATTTTTGTTGAATAATTTCTGGATGGAGGCTTGAGCTACATTAACATAATTGTGATTACCTAGCACCCTACACTGACCTTAGGGTCAGCAAAGAGTTCTAGAGTTAAGTGACACTGATGTTGCTGAAGGTTTTGGAATAGTGCACAAGGCCAGTGTGACTAGGCTTTGAGATGGAACCATCCTCTAGAGAAAAGGCTCCTAGAGACTACTGCTGTGGACTTCTGGGAATTGCCATCCAGAGGGAGAGAATAAATTCACCTCTCCTGGAGGGAAATGATATTCAGAGGCAGAGGAAAAGCTGTAGAAGGGAGAATCTAGCAGCAACAGCACTGTGGCAGGCTGTGAACTGGAAATTAGAGAAGGAGACAGAAATAGAGACAGAGACAGACAGAGATAGAGAGAGAAGGGAGGGAGGTAGATCTGTGGAAAGGATGTGAAGTGTTTAATTTCTTCCTCTTTGCCCAATCTTCCTCTTGCAAAAAACAGCAGACTTTTATTACAAGATTTCTCTCTTCTTTAAGTTCATAATTTTTGATTTACATAATATTTTAGAAGCTAGATTACTCTAGATATAAAATGATAACAGATCATAACTTATTTTTTATGTGTGTGTCCTTGATTGGAAGTCGTGAAGCTCCAAGTGAATAGCTTTTGGTACATAGAGTTAAAGAAACAAAAGGGATAAACCTTTGTCTAAATGTCAGAGTGAAAGAAATCCTCTTTTCTTCTTCCTTCCCCTTAACTAAGTGTTCTTGAGCTAAAATTGAGAGAAAATTTTATGATTTTAATTTTATTAATAACTCTTAGACTACTCAATAGTAACGAGATTAAAGCCATGTGGAGACAGGTCCTTCATTTTGGTTTTTCCCTTTGCTAAAACTACAAGCCAGGTTGTTATGATGGTCTGGTGAGGGGGTTGGGTGTGGGTGAGCCTTGGAGACATCCCCATTGTTTTCTTCCTTTGAATGCTCACTTGTGGGAGGCAGTGACTAGTCTACCTGATGGGAAGGGGTAGGTGTGGTTTAAGAAGAGTAGACATGCCCATCTTCCAAAGATGGTGGTCAGAGGAAGGAGAATTTCTTTTGCTTTCATTTTCACTTGAAATTCCCAAACCCTGCCCGATAAAACCACCAAATGGTTGGGAGTGGAAGCAAGGGAGGAAGGTGAGAGGCCTCAAGGAGGAGAAAAATTCAAACTGAAGGAAGACAAGAACTCTAGCTGACAGAGGACTCTGGATGAGGGAGAAGGAGAGGGAAAGTGAGTTAAGCTGAAGGAGAAGGAAGAGTAGGAGAAAGACTCAGGGAAAAGGAGTAGAAATGTCAGAGAGGGAGAGGAAGGCTATGGTCAAGAAAGTTGGGAGTGAAGGTAGAAAAAGGCTAACAAAGTGAAAATATGAGTAATGACTCTGGGGCCACATGCCCTTCCAAGAAATTGCCACATCAATCCTCCAGGAGAGTTAATGACAAGAGCTACTTATAAGAACTGAGGATCTTGTTTCCAGAAAGTAGGGAGAGAAGAAGGAATTTTTGCCATGCCCTATTTCATGTGAAATGTCCTCAAAGAGAAGGAAAAGGGGCTCAAATAATGCCAATCCCTTTTCTATGTTTTCTGGAAAATGAAGTATTCCTTAAGAATGACCTCAGTGTGAAAATGAAGGAGGAAAAAACACAGAGCAATGGTGATCTCAGGCAGGAGGGCAGAAATGTAGAAGGTAGAAAAATGTCACATATAAGGGAGAGAAAAAGAGAATGAATATTTGAACCTAAGAAAGAGATCTTAAGCCATGACTGAAGAAGAGGAAACTGGAATATCTGAAGAGGAAACAGCTGCTTTACTTTAAGACATGATGTCTCTAGGGACTGCTAGGAAAGAGATCATCTAGGAGGAGGAGGAGGAGGAGGAGGAGGAGGAGGAGGAGAAGAAGAAGAAGAAGAAGAAGAAGAAGAAGAAGAGAAGAAGAAGAAGAAGAGAAGAAGAAAAAGAAATAACTAATGGTGATTAGTGACTTTTTCTTGAAGAGTACTGAGGCAGTATTGGTATCCCAAACAATAGGGTCATTGAACCATAGATTTAAAGCTGGAAAGGACTTCAGATGCCATTTAGTCTAAGATCCTTAGTTTTTTTGAGTGAAGAAGTGGGTGGGAACCTTACAGTGAGGAAACTTCCTGTACCAATTTGAATCAGCATGCGCTATATAATTTGTGGTCTTAAAGAGTTGTCTTGGGAACTGAAAGATTAAGGGACTTGCCCAGTCACGGAAGTAGTTTGTGTCAGAGACAGGGCTTGTGCCCAGGTCTTTGTAACTCCGAGGTTAACTCTCTAGCTGTTATTCCATGCTGCCTCTGTTTTTTGTAAATAGTATTTTATTTTTTTCTGATTACATGCAAAGATAATTTTCAGTCTTTATTTTTTATAAGATTTTGAGTTCTAAATTTTTCTCACTCCTGCCCTCCCCTTCCTCTTCCCCTTCCCCCAAAGAGCAAGCAGTCTGATACAGGTTATGCATTTACAATCATGTTAAACATATTTCCACATTAGTTATGTTGTGAAAGAAGAAATAGAACAAAAATGAAAAGCCATAAAAAACAAAAAAAAGCAGCAAAAAAAGTGAAAATAGTGTACTTTGATCTTCATTCAGACACCATAATTCTTCCTCTGTATGTGAATAGCATTTTCCATCATGAATCTTTTAGAATTGTCTTAGATCATTGTATTGCTGTGAAGAGCCACATCTATCAAAGTTGATCATCTCACAATGTTGCTGTTGCTGTGTACAATGTTCTCCTGGTTCTGCTCACTTCACTCAGAATCAGTTCATGTAAGTCTTTCCAGGTTTTTCTGAAATCTGCTTTCTATGCTGCCTCTTAACCCCTTATTTTTTTGATAAGGAATCTGAGACCCAGAGAGGAGAAGTAATTTGTCCAAGGTTATGGCAGTAATGATTGCCAGAGCAAGTATTTGAATTGAATTTTTCTGATTTTGTATCACAATATAGAAATCTGCTCTTTTCTTGGGGCAAGAATGGGCTGTGATAGAGCATTCATGTAGGTTTATCAAACCTAATGATTACTATCCTGGGCATGTATATTGTGAGGAATCACAGGTTTGCTTGCTCCATGAATGCCTATGACCACTACCCACATCCAGTGGTTCTCATGGACAAGATTATCATACTAGAGGGAATCCAAAAATATATGGAAAGGATGATGAAACTTAGGGCAAGAAACTGAAGACCTTTCAGCAAATATGTGCTTTCAGTCCTTCTACAAATTGAAGGCAAAGACTTCAAAAACGAAAGGCAGATTCAGGAAGTCAACAACTTTTAAAGAAGATGGTGTCTAAGAACAGAGTTTGGGTTTCTGAACCCCAAATTAAAATACAGGCATGCCTGGCTGGTGGTCAGGGAGACAGTACAACTAACAAGGGATCATAAAAATGTATTTTCCTGGAGTCTAAAAGATCTAATGAAAAGGATTTCAAATAGAAAAGGAGGCAAGATGTGCTTGAGTATATTCACCAAGTTGTATGTCATAGATAGGACCTATAATGTAGGAAGAATTATAGTCAAAATGCCCACAGAATCAGTAGAGGCAAAATCCAAGAGGGGAGGCAGGAATAAAACATATGACCTCAGATGTGTCTGTACAAAGGCTTAAGCAAAATGAACTAGACATCCTAATTCAAGAAGGCAAATTAGGTGTCAAAAATGCCTTATTCAAAGTAGAATGTAAGTAAAAGAACATAGTGAGTAGCATTATATATTAAGAAAATATACTTCTTTGAGGCAGTGCAGGAATCAGAGTGGAGAAGCATGGTGGAGAGCAGTTGGATAAAAATGCATGAAAGCAGGAACAAAAGAAATATTATCATTAAAGCAGATTATAAACTACTGGGGCAAAAAGATGAAATTGATACCCATTTGGGGAACCGATCACAAACCTGGCATGAAGATATGATATAGAAGTGATGTCACCCTTGATGGTCTGGACAGCTTTTGAAACTCACTTTCTGTGCTCAAAGTAGAGCATCACATAAGTTCTTAACTTACTTTAGTGATCAGTCAGTAAGTACTGATTAGGTGTTTACAGTATACTAAGAACTGGGTGAGGCACTGGGAGCTAAGGACACAAATACAAAGAATGGAACAACAAGCTTGCATTCTATCTGGAAGACCACATACACATGAATATATACATATGCATATCTGTATCTATGTACATATATGTATATATGTGAAATAAAAATCATCTAAGTCATGGAGGGAGAATACTAACAACTGAGAAGATCAAGAAAGGCTTTTTGCAGAAGGTGCTGCTTGAGTTATGTCTTGAAGGAAGTGATATCTTCAGTAAGGCAGAGGTAAGACGGGAGTGCATCCTGGGTATGGGGATAGCCACTGCAAAGGCACAGAGAGAGAGATGGTGAAGTGCTGAACGTGAAGAACAGAGGGAAGGCTGTTTTGGCTATTTTGTAGAGTAAGAGAAACGGAGTAATGTTTAATGAGACTGGAAAGAGAGGCTCAGCCCAGCTTGTGAAAGGCTTTAAAAGCCAAACAGAGGAGTTTATATTTTATCCTAGAGGCAATAGAAAGCCACTAAAGTTAGTTGAATAGAGGAGTTGTGTGGGCAAATCTGTGTTTAAGGAAAATTAGTTTAGCAATAGTGTATAGGATGAACTGTGGTGGTGAAAGATTTGAGTAGGGAGATTATTTAGAAGGCTATTTCAATAATAGAGGGGAGAAGTGTTGAAGGCTTGAACTAAGGCAGTGTCTATATGAGTAGAGTGTGCAGATGAATAAGATATAGGCTTAGAAACGACCAGATTTG